AAAAAGAATAGGTTTTTTTTGTATAGTATCAACCAACTACTGCACTGTTTGGTACGCTTAAAAACGCTTGTTTTGGGCTTCGACCTCACATTCAAAAGTAGCAAAACAATCTAACGCCTGCATCTTAATCCATAACATAGCTGTACCAATCATCGGCAGTTCGTTAGCGAACAGAATTTTAAATTGTTCAATTGTTCCAAGATGATGGTCTCATGGCCGTTCATAAAAAATGTCTGCTGTAGTGAACATAATATCATCAATTGTTTAAATCATCAAATATGGATGTAACATTAGAGTGCTAGCGTACGTCTATCAAAACGACGGCAAAGCATGTCACACATCTTTTACAAAAAAAAAACATAAACATGCAAATTAAAATGGATGCGATTCTCCATTTGTTGCAACAGTCACAACTACAAAAGGATAACCCATGAAAGGCAAAACTCATAAAGATGCTTCAAGTTTGGCTTACAAGTTGTTACGTGACAAGTAAAAAATGTTCAGCGCACACTAACGGTTTTTCATTGAAATACTATCTAATCAGCTGACTGAAGTTCTTCTTCTGACAGGTTTAAGACTATAGAGATTGTCGTGAAAAATGGATATGTAATTCATGATCAACATGTCATGATGTAATCGCAAACCAATTTTCATGGAGACTTTGATTCCTACAGTGCACCTGCCGTAACCTTTCAATAGTCTTCTACGTGCAAACTGAATAATATCAGCTTGATTACCACATCAAGTAACCTAACCTAAAAGTTTTGACAAATACCGAGACCTTGAATTCTTAGCGGCAAAAATATTAAACAGTATCGATCGATGGCGTCACACAATTACTCCTGATGCAGCGGTACAACAATTCGAATCAAAATGTAAAAACGTCGAATCTCGTGAAACTTCTGTACTGCGCTGTGGTACATTATTGTGAAGATACGATGTGTACTCAGACCATGGATTCGTAAAATGTGCCAAGAAATTGATACGCTATCTCGTAAAATTCTATCAGCAACGTAAAAAATTTTCTCCTCTATTGGCCAGAAGTAGAAGCAAAGGATTTTGAAGTAGCCCATGAGGAATTGGCATCGTGGGAGGGTAGCTTACAAACCCTATCTCTACACTAAAGGGTCAGCCTGATTGATAATTTTCTTCGTGA